CAGCGACATCTGTCCTTGTTTCAGATTTCCAGCATCTGCAGTGTTTTGAGTTTTGTTAAAACTCTTGTTTGGTTTCAGCAAAAACAAAGCAAAGTGCAAATTACAGACATGAGACAGTGGGTGTGTGGAGATGGGAGACACTGAGCCTGACAGAGTGAGGGAGGAGAGAGACAGTCAGCGACACAGGATGGTGGAGCCCAGACTCTCTCTCTCTCTCAGCTCAGCTCAGGACAGCCCGGCTCAGCTCTGGGAGCAGCCGCGATTAGCTACTGACGATGAAGGTGATGAAGTATAACGTACCACAACACCAGTGTAATCTGAGCACCGGCCGAGCACCACAGAAACCACAAATATGCTCCGGACAGATTTAACCCTTCCCCCAACCTGGTGAAATCATTTACTTCACAGTGACGGTTATAAGGCCAACACCCACACACACACATGCTCACAAACACACATGGCCTGGGACACACATGCTCAAACACACACACGCACTCGCACACATGTGCTCACACACACATATGCTCAGTAGCCTCATTCCCTTACGTTTACTTCAATGCTAATGGTTCTTGTTTCTGGGGATCGTTTGGAGACATTTCCTTGATGTGAAACTTGCCGCGTAAATGGAAGCAGTTACCGCTCCCCCCCCCACCCCAGCGCCATCACCCCCCACCCCAGCGCCATCACCCCCACCCCAGCGCCATCACCCCCACCCTAGCGCCATCACCCCCCACCCTAGCGGAATCATACCCCACTCCCCCACCAGCCTCCACTCACCGCCATCTCCCTGCTGTCTGTCCTCGAGCTCCTCTCCCAGGACGGGCTAAAGCGATCGCTGGTTTTGAAGGCTGCGGTGATGGTGTCCTGTGCGGTGCTGGTGCGGGGTAGGGTGTACCCACCAGTGCTGCCCCCCTCCAGCCCCTCAGGGCGGGAAGCCCCCCGGTAAGCCCTGGGATGGGGATCAAGCTCCTGGCGGGATAGGCCGGAGCCCTTGCCAGAGCTCAGGTGATGGTGATGGTAGGAATCGGTGATGTGTAGGTTTAGCAAGTCACAGTTCAGCTCGGTTTGGCTGAAAGACTTCCTTCGGCTCAGCGCCAGGCTGGACGGTTGAACGCTCCCTGTGCCGTATCCATAACTCCCAGAATATCCTCCGCTCAGTCCGGTGGGAAAGGCCTTGATGGGGGTGCGGCTCAGGCTCTCGCTCCGCCGGCTCAGTGTGTCTGTGCGCGGCAGCGGCCGGCCCCGGTCCGTATCCAGTGAGTATTTGCTGGTCGGTCGCGTCCCGGCACTCCGGGCGGCGTAGCCCGTGGCCAGGCTGGGTGTGTAACTGTGGTAGGATGAGCCATAGTGGGAGGTCATCGCGGAGCTGGAGTAGGAACCCACTCGCTTGGTGCCTGTCGAGGAGGAGGACACTCGTGACATGGTGATGGCTGGCACGGACGGGAGGCCACGGTTGGCATTTACTGGGGAAGAAGAAAGGAGACGGTGAGCCACACGGCAAATACATGTGTGCCAGCCAGTGACCCCACCACCAACACGTGCGAATCAAGTCAATGAATGTTGGCACGATGCTCAACCACACTCACATACACACAACTGCACGCACATATACACACACACATGCACACACACAACTGCACACACGGGTACAGACCCGGGGAGGGGTTGGGTTGGGGACAGTTTTATACTTGGACGTGGGGTGACAGGATTAAAGTGTCCGACATCTCGGGGTGAAGGGGAATTCTCTGCGCCATTATAATGGCTTTTGCCACTGAGGCAACAAGCCCGTGTCACAGTCACTGGCGCCACCTAGTGGCGTGCTACGCACAGCAAGATCACCTGTGGTCAGACACCAGCATCCCGTGTGTGCGTGTATATGGGGAGGGGCTCATTGGTGAGGATAGGATTGACGCCAGGCGATTTCTCCTCCTTCCCCCCTCCCCTCCTGCAGTGCAATATTGCAGATACCTGGTCAAACCACTGCCTTGGCGCCTCATTAAGACGTCTCAAACTGCTTCACAGGATATACTGTAAAGTGTAGTGACTGTGTATTTGTGGGCAAAAAAACAGTAGCCAATTACGCGCAGCAGTGTCCCACAGACAGTCGTGCACTGATTGACCAAATTATTATTTTTGAAGGGATTATTACCCCCGGAGAGCGATCCACCAATCTACTAACTACCGGGTTCCTACTGACTGCTGGTAAACAGAGGAGTGGGGAAACTCGCCCAACATCTCACTCTGCCCAGGAATCAAACCCAGGTCCTATGGCTTGTGAGGCGAATGCTCTGACCACAAAGACAGGTCCAGGTTATGCTGTTCCGGGTGGGGTTTGGGGAATACGGTGAACAGCAGCCGCTGAGGGTGAAGGTTCGTCGTTCCTGGTTCCAGGCCCACAAGACAGAATCAGGAAATCAAACTACTTCCAGAGGAGGGAGCGGAGCAGGAGAACCGGGATCAGAAAGGGCCTGAGGTTGCTGTGTGTGTGACTTCACTCTGGTTCACACCCATTCCCAGGCAAGACAACGCCCGGGGGGTGTGCTCCCACCCTGAGGGGAGGTGTGAACCAGTTTTACAGCAGAATCCTCTGCCTGCACGTCCCACAGCCTGTGTCACACACACACACACACACACACAGACAGTCTCAAATACACTTGTATTCACACACATACACCAACAACACACAGTCTCACACACAGACACACACTGACATTCACAGACACACACACACACATACAGACAATCTCTCACAACCTCTCCCTCCCCCAACACACACACAGTAACACACACAGTAACACACAGTAACACACACACACACAGTAACACACAGTAACACACACACACACAGTAACACACACAGTAACACACAGTAACACACACACACAGTAACACACACAGTAACACACACAGTAACACACACAGTAACACACACACACACAGTAACACACAGTAACACCCTCTCGGGCTGTACTCACTCCCAGGGCACAGGGTCCGGGGTTGCAGTCCCCGCCATTTGTCACTGATTCCCCACATGTGCGGCACAGCGTCCGCCCGTCACCATGACAACCGCTTTGATTACAGCGATCCCACAATGCACTGTACAGCCCAACCCCAACACACAGCACATACACCAACATACTAACACATACACCAACATACTAACACATACACCAACATACTAACACATACACCAACATACTAACACATACCCCAACACACAGCACATACACCAACATACAGCACATACACCAACATACAGCACATACACCAACATACAGCACATACACCAACATACAGCACACACACCAACATACAGCACATACACCAACATACTAACACATACACCAACATACTAACACATACACCAACATACTAACACATACACCAACATACTAACACATACCCCAACATACTAACACATACACCAACATACAGCACATACACCAACATACAGCACATAGACCAACATACAGCACATACACCAACATACAGCACATACACCAACATACTAACACATACACCAACATACTAACACATACCCCAACATACAGCACATACACCAACATACAGCACATACACCAACATACTAACACATACACCAACATACAGCACATACACCAACATACAGCACATACACCAACATACAGCACATACACCAACATACAGCACATACACCAACATACAGCACATACACCAACATACTAACACATACACCAACATACAGCACATACACCAACATACAGCACATACACCAACATACAGCACATACACCAACACACAGCACATACACCAACATACAGCACATACACCAACATACAGCACATACACCAACATACAGCACATACACCAACACACAGCACATACACCAACATACAGCACATACACCAACATACAGCACATACACCAACACACAGCACATACACCAACATACAGCACATACACCAACATACAGCACATACACCAACATACAGCACATACACCAACATACTAACACATACACCAACATACAGCACATACACCAACACACAGCACATACACCAACATACAGCACATACACCAACACACAGCACATACACCAACATACAGCACATACACCAACATACTAACACATACACCAACAAACGGCACATACACCAACACACAGCACATACACCAACATACTAACACATACACCAACATACAGCACATACACCAACACACAGCACATACACCAACATACTAACACATACACCAACATACAGCACATACACCAACATACAGCACATACACCAACATACAGCACATACACCAACATACTAACACATACACCAACATACAGCACATACACCAACACACAGCACATACAACAACATACTAACACATACACCAACATACAGCACATACACCAACACACAGCACATACACCAACATACTAACACATACACCAACATACAGCACATACACCAACATACAGCACATACACCAACATACAGCACATACACCAACACACAGCACATACACCAACATACAGCACATACACCAACAAACAGCACATACACCAACATACTAACACATACAACAACAAACAGCACATACACCAACATACTAACACATACACCAACATACAGCACATACACCAACATACTAACACATACACCAACATACAGCACATACACCAACACACAGCACATACACCAACATACAGCACATACACCAACATACAGCACATACACCAACAACAACAACAACAAGATTCCATTTATAAAGCGCCTTTCACGTCAGGAGGACGTCCCAAGGCGCTGCACAGTTGGGTCATGACCCGAGCATTGGGGAAATGGTCAGGGTGAGGGGAGGGAAGGGAGGGAGAGAGGAGGGGGAAGATGGTCAGGGTGAGGGGAGGGAAGGGAGGGAGCGAGGAGGGGGGAAATGGTCAGGGTGAGGGGAGGGAAGGGAGGGAGCGAGGAGGAGGAAGAGAGTCGAGAGCGGAGCTGAAGGCTGAAGGTCAAAGAGAAAGGTCTTGAGACCGGCCTTGAAGGAGGAAAGGGAGGAAGCGGCGAAGGCACTGGGGATGGAGTTCCAGAGCCTCGGGGCTGAGAGGCTGAAGGCCCGACCACCGATAGTAGGGCGGTTGGGGCGGGGGACGTGGAGCAGACCGGAGCCAGAGGAATGGAGGGTACGGGCAGGTAGGTCGGGGGATAGTAGGTTGGAGAGGTAGGAGGGAGCGAGGCCGTGAATGGCCTTGTAGGTGAGGATGAGGATCTTGAATTCGATCCTCTGGGGGATGGGGAGCAGTGGAGGCGAGCGAGGGCGAGGGTGAGGGCGAGGGCGAGGGTGAGGGCGAGGGTGAGGGCGAGGGTGGGAGTGATGTGGGCGCGGTGTCTGGTGCGGGACAGTACACGAGCTGCAGAGTTCTGAATGACCTGCAGTGTGGAGGGAGGGCCGGGAAGGCCGACGAGGAGAGAGTTCCCATAGTCCAGCCTTGAGGTGACAAAGGCGTGAACCAGGGTTTCAGCCGCGTGAGGGGTGAGGTAGTGCCATAGTCTGGCGATGTTCCGGAGGTGATGGAAGGCGGTGCCAGTTGTGGCGCGGATGAGGGAGAAAGGACAGCTCAGGGTCGAACAAAACGCCGAGGAAACGGGGAGATCTAAAGCTCGGTTGAGGAGGAGGATCTTGAGATGCGTCTCGAAGGTAGTGAGAGAGGGGGTAAGATGGTGGGGACAGAGTGGCAGAAGGCCCACCCGCCAATGGTGAGAGCTGTGACACACAGCACACGGCCACCGCTCGCCCAAGAGAGGCTCATTAACAATAATTATAATAATAATGTAATAAAAATAATTGCTTTTGATATAATGTTATCAACTTATCACTTTATTGAGACGTCTTAATGTGCTTCACAGGATATAATGTAAAATGCAGTGACTGTGTATTTTGTGGGCAAAACGCAACAACCAATTACACAGCAGTGACAGCAGTGGATTGAGTGACAATTTTTTTATTTGGAGGATTGTTGGCCGGGACACCGGGAGAGAGAGGGAAACTCTTCTTCCTTTTAGAACCAGAGCTGCGGGATCTTTAACCTCCACCTGAACAGGCGCAGACGAGGAGCTCAGTTTAATGTCTCATCCAAAGGATGGCAACTCTGACAATGCGCTGTATTGGAGAGTCAGCCTGGATTATGTTATCCCAAGTCCCGACATGGGGCTCGAACCCACAAACCTTCTGACTCATTCAGCCAGAGTCACACACAGGCTGATATTCCTCCCTCAGCCAAAGCCGTGTTGATCAGAAATTTTAAACACATTGAAATGAGATTTGATGTTGTCACCTCCAGCCTGGCTGGGTGTCAGGGCGATGCTTTTGCTGTCATGAACTAACTGACTTAACTGACAACAGATTAACTGACTAAACTGACCTGGTGAATGGCACAAAACCCGAGCTGATCAAGGTCCTACATGACGTGGTGCTGTGGCAGAGAGAGCGATAATCAGCGTCAGCTAAACCTGACCATTAACAGGTGGAACTTTCCCACGTTACCCTGTCCTCCCACAGCTGAAGGCCTGAGATCAGGGAATAAACAGACCTCCCCCCACCTCCCCTCCAATCCCCTCCTTCCCACCCCGTCACCCCTCGACAGGACTGCCATTGAGTCAGTAGCCTCCAGCTTCCCTCTATAAGAATTTGCTCGACGAAAGAAGCACAAGGTCCATCCAGTTCACCTTCCACTGTCCTGGCACTCAGTCGCATGCACATGTCACTCGCTCGCGTTCTCCCCCCCACCCCCGCGCCCCCACCCACCCCCGCGCCCCCACCCACCCCCGCGCCCCCACCCCAGAGACAGACCCTGAGCAACTCCCCCACCCCACCCATCACCGCATGTCACAGGAAACAGCAGTTAAACCCCGGCCTGGACAGTTCTCTGCACGGAATGGAATGGAATGAAATGAGCGTCTAAAATTACCCTGTTCCTCCATCTCCTGATAAGGACAGCACAGACAGACAGACAGACAGACACAGACAGACAGACAGACAGACAGACAGACAGACAGGCAGGCAGACAGACAGACAGACAGACAGACAGGCAGGCAGGCAGGCAGGCAGGCAGACAGACAGACAGACAGACAGACAGGCAGGCAGGCAGGCAGACAGACAGACAGACAGACAGGACTTGGCAAAAACACTGGGAATAGCCCGGTTTAGCAGTTGGGTGCCGGAGAGAGAAGAGACCAGCGACATAAGCCAATCATACTCTCACTCCCTTTTTTCTGCCTCACTCTCTCTCCCTATCTCTCCCTCTCTGTCTCAGAGTACCCAAACAGGCACTTTCTCACACTGACTGTTACACACTGACCCCCACATAAATCCTATCAGTTGGGACCAGACATTGAGTTATGTGAAAGTGATACCTAATAGAAAATCATCAGGACTTGGACAGATGCACAATTTACATGATTGTATATGATTTATACAGATTAGACTGGATTATGTGTGTTTTACTGCATAAGAAACTTTAGCTCCTCCGTCATGTGCTCTGGTGGGTTTGTCCAGTGAGTGACTGAGCCACACAGAGCACGTGACTTCCCCGCCCCCCTCCCGATTGTTTCCCCCCACGTTACCCCCACCCCCAGATAGAGGGAGAGGGAGAGAAAGACTGCGAGAGAGACAGAAAGAGAGAGAGAGATAAACAGGTAGCTGAGGCTTAGACACGATGGCTTCCGTCTGGCCAGAAAATATTCCTAAAGGAAAGAGGAATTGTGGTTTCGTCTCGTCAACAGTGTGAGTGCCGGATGGATAGGGTGTGAAGGGGATCCCAGTGTCAGCTATTCCTGGGCCCTGAGTGTTTATACAGAGTCCCTGACACAGGGCAGTATCCCAACAGCAACAACAACAACTTACATTTACACACAGAGCTGTTCATGTCGGGAGGACATCTCAAGGCGCTGGACAGTCAGGGATTTGGACCTGAGTTGGGGGTTGGGATCAGGAGGAGTGCAGGGCAGGGAGGGTGGAGGGGGGCAGAGAATGGGGCAGGGAGGGGGAGTGGAGGGCAGGAAGCGGTGGTGTGAAGGGCCGTTGGGGGTGTGGAGAGCAGGGAGTGGGAGGGAAATTGTGGGGAGGGCAGGGAGGGGTGGGGTAGGAGGGTGACCGAAGGTGTGGTGGAAGAGGAGGGTGTGGTTACCTGCTGATGGTGATGGCCGATCGGAGTCTCTCTGCCGAGACCGGCTCCCGTTCACTCCATGTTGGGTTCTGCACCACGTGAAGCAAATCACCTGCTAGTAATCTGCTGAGGGAACAAACACACAAGGAGGTCAGGCTGGGATCACAGAAAAATCCGCTCCCCCCCATGAGCCTCCCCCCCATACCCAAACCATACCCCAAATATGTACCCAAAATAACAGCACGTAATCCTATATTTATCCCCCAAATACCCAATCTATATGATAATAATCCTTGCATTTGATATTGTGGTTTATCACATTGTTGAGACGCCTACTCCCATTGTCCAGACTGAGGCGAACTGAGATGTCTGTCAGTTCAGGGGATCGAGGGATATATCAGGGCAAAGGCGGGTAATTGGAGTTGAGATACAGATCAGTTGTGATCTTAGAGAATGGCAGAACAGGCTTGAACAGGCTCGAGGGGCTGAATGGCCTCCTCCTGTTCCCATACTCCTACGTTCCTATGTCTCAAAGCATTTCACAGAATACACTATAAAGTGTAGTGACTGTGTATTCTGTGGGCAAATCCCAGGGGCCAATTGCGCCCAATGACATCCCAAAATATACTCAAAATATTTACCCCAAAATAACAGCACAAAACACCACTTACCCCTAAAATACCCTTGTGTATCCTTCCTCCCCTCTCCCTCCCATTTAACCAAGACACAGCAGCTCAGTGGATGGCAGCCCATTAGATTAGTTGTGACATCAGCCTCGGCTCAGAGGCTGTCGATGTCACTGAGGGATCTCGCCTCAGTCCCACTCCTCTCTCTTTCTCTGCCTTTTCCCCACTCCCTTTCCTGATGTTTAAACGTCCGATGGAGAGACGAGAAGGGGAGCCAGTATATCTCAGAGCTCCAACTCTGCCAGGAATCTCTGCTGGTGAGAGTACGAGAGAGAGAAAATCTGGAACTCACTCTCTCTCTCTCCCAAAAGGCTGTGATTTATGGCTGGATCCATTCACATTATCCAGACTAAGGTGGTAAGATGTTTGTCAGATCAGGAGGTCAAGGGATATGGGGCAAAGGTGGGTAATTGGAGTTGAGATATAGAGGCTCCTTTCCCCTCTCCAACAGTGGCGCAGAATTGTTAACATCCACCTGAGCAGGGAGATGGGACGTTGGATCATACGTCTCAGCTGACACCCCCCCAAACCCCCCGACACCCAGCGAAGCGGCCGTTGCTGATTGTCACAGCATGAACTCAAAAGCTGAACATGAACCCACAAACTGATGATGGCTGGGGTTCCCCAAAGCTTGTCCAGCTCAGACCACCCTTACCCGTTGGAGCTTTGGCTGCGGAGTTAATAGGAGCTGAGGGGGAGGATTCTCTGCCCCCAGTGACCAGGCGGCCCTTCCAGGTCCTGCTGATGAGCCGGGCCGGGCTGTGCTGCCATCAGCAGTGAGTGCCCTGGGACCCTGCGGCCCCTCCCGGCTCAGGAACCGGGACTAGAGACCAGCACAGAGGGGGGACTCGATTCCCTTATTCTGTTGGCAAAACATGTCACCTTAGGGCCAGTTCAGCTCTGAGGAGACCCAGTTTACCTCTCAGCGTCAAGGGTGAGAATGGAGGAGTGAGAGTGGCACTGACTGGGCAAGGCTCACTCTGTGTGGGGGGGAGGGGGGAATTGGCATCTGTCCCTAGTGAGAGATTGGAACAGAAACACAAGTCACGTCTATTTTGATCAACAACGTCATTCACTGAATCAAATAGAAGTGAGAGAGAGAGTGTGAGAGAAAAGAGAGAAACATCAAAAAAGAGTGCGAGAGAGGCGTAAACCTACCGACAGTGACAAACATTCCCATTACTTTTAAAAGTATGTTCATTGCCCAAATTGTGTGAAACTTAACTTTAGGACAATTTCACACACTCACACACATCCTCACCCTCACTGTCTCTTTCTCTCTCTCTCCCCGCACTGTGTGACATTGGGAACTCACTCAGGCTAGGGTCTGGGAGTAATTCCCCCCCCAGAGGCGGACAGACCCCCAACGAGGACCCGGACACCAACTCCTGCTTACCCCGGCCCTCCGTGTGCTGCTCCAGCGTCTCTCTGCTGTCTCTGCCCCGGGGCTAAATATAACCACTGTCTCTGCCTGTACCCTGAGCTCACAGCCTGGGTCAGTCACCCAGCACTCTTCTCCATTACACCAGTTAAAGGGACAGTGTCCTGTTTTATTTAAGACGCCACAATTCTCTCAGAGTCTGCAAACCTTTCACAGCTTGCCCACAAAATACACAGTCACTACACTTTACTATGAATATTCTGTGAAGCGCTTACATTAATTAATTAATTAATTTGATATCCCGGCATCTCAAAGTGCTTCAACAGGATACACTGTAAAGCGGATTGACTGTGTATTTTGTGGGTGAAATGCGGCAGCCAATTGAACTTAACCACACGGGATTGCAAAACATTTTGGCTTAATCTGGAAGTTGGTTTCTTTCTAATTAACCAAAGACAATGAACGCCAATTAATGATCCTGTATTTGACACAGATCTTTATCACATCGTCAAAAAGTTTCAGAGCGCCTCACTGGGGCCGACTGAATCAGCTGTTTTGGCCGGGAGTAGGGGCTGCTCACACTCACAGCACAGGATTTGTACTGAACTAATTCCATTAATAACAAGAATCTGCGAATGAATTATTTAGAATGAGAGGAACGTGGAGAGAACACAAGTTGAACTCTTACATTCAGGTGTCCCGGTGTCTCTCTGGGCTGATAATATTCTCTCAGACTAAAATCCCTCCCAAAATACACATTAAATGCTCACGGCTGTGGTTGCGTGTGTGTCTGTCTGTGTCACTGTGTATGTGTGTATGTGTCTGTCCAGTCTGTCCAGAGTGAAAGGCGCTATATAAATGCAAGTTGTTGTTGTTGTATGTGTGTCTGTGTCACTGTGTGTGTGTGTTTGTGCATGCATATATGTGTTTGTGTACATATCTGTGTGTTTGTGAACATTGCAGGGACACACTATCTGCTGGGTATTTGCCTATTTCACAGTCGCTACACTGGAAAGTAAGTCATTGCTCGAAACACTTTGAGATGGTGTCAACCTGACAGGATCATTGTAACAATGGGTTAAAGCAACCAATCCCTGGTAGATTAGAAGTACAAATAGTCATTTCATTATTACAATTACAAAATACAGCTCCATGTGGTTACCTCATGTTCCGATACCTACCCCCCCATCCTGCTGTAACTCTCCATCCCCCCACCTTGCTGTTCCTCCGTCCTCCCCCACCCCCCAGTAACTCTAGTCGCCATACACATGAGCACTTGTTCCCTCAAACTGGTCAGATATCACTGAGAGACGGTGTCCAGTGTCTCATTACAGAAACACAACCCTGGCCTATTACTCTGACAGGAATGTTTGTCTCTACCAGGAACATAGAGTGACCGACAGTCAATAATATTGATATAATCCTCACGTTTGATATCAACTCCTTGTGGTGTCCTGTAGCTCAGTGGTTAGAGCACTCGCCTCTCAAGCGAGAGGACCTGAGTTTGATTCCCAGGTCAGGGCGAAACATTGGACAAGTTTCCTTACTCCACACACACACGCCTCTGTTTACCAGCACTTAATAGGAACCCTGTTGGTAGTTGATTGGCGGATCACTTTTAAAATAAATAAGTAAATAATAATTATTTGGTCACTAAATCCATGACTGTTTGTGGGATGCTGCTGTGCACAATTGGCTGCCATATTTTGGCCACAAAATATACAGTCAATTCACTTTAATAATAATAATAATCCTTGCATTTGATATAGCGCTTTTCATGTCTTCTCGACGTCTTAAAGTGCTTCACAGAATATACTGTAAAGTGAATTGACTATATTTGTGGACGAATTGCGGCAGCCAATTGCGCACAGCAGCGTCCCACAGACAGCCGTGGATTGAAATGACTAATTTATTATGGTTTTTTTGAGGGATTATTAACAGTATATTCTGTGAAACACTTGGAGACACAGCTCACACTAAAACTCAATGCTCACACTCACAGCTCACACTCATGTCTTGAAGACGTAATAAGGTACTTATATCAAATGCAAGGATTATTATTATTATCATGTCAAAACACCCCAGTTAATGTTCTCTATAAAGTGTAGTGACTGTATGTTGTAGGCCAGCAGCACAAGGCAATATCTCACAAACAGTCTGGGATTGTTGGCCAAGACCCCGGGAGAAACTCCCTTCTGGAATTCCATCCCACAGTCCCTCTGCCTCGTCCCCTCCTTCAACTCCTTTAAGGCATATCTCAACACCCTCCTCTTTGACTGTGCCTTCAGTCACTCTCCTACCCCCACCCTCCCTGCCCTCCATTCCTCCTGATCTCAACCCCCAGTTCAGGTACAAATCTCTGACTGTCCAGGGCCTTGGGACGTCCTCCTGACGTGAACGCCAGGCGCCGTGTGTGTAACTATAACGTGTGGCGGTTGTGTTGGTTGGAGCAGATACACAGGAACCTCAGCTCAGCCGCAGTGTGTTTGCTGCTGTAATATAGGGCATCGGCCACACACGGCCGCACTACCCACCAGGCGGTGTGTCAATTACCTGAGCTGCTGTTCAGAGGTGTGAGATGCTGCTCACACTCACTGCTCACACTCACTGCTACCTACACACACTCCCTGCTCACACTCACTGCTTACATTCACACTCACAGCCCGCACTCACTGCTACCTACACACTCCCTGCTCACACTCACTCACAGCCCGCATCACTGCTAACTACACACACTCACTGCCTCACACTCACAGCCCGCATCACTGCTAACTACACACACTCACTGCCTACGCTCACACTCACAGCCCGCACTCACTGCTAACTACACACACTCACTGCTCACGCTCACACTCACAGCCCGCACTCACTGCTAACTACACACACTCACTGCTCACGCTCACACTCACAGCCCGCACTCACTGCTAACTACACACACTCACTGCTCACGCTCACACTCACAGCCCGCACTCACTGCTAACTACACACACTCACTGCTCACGCTCACACTCACAGCCCGCACTCACTGCTAACTACACACACTCACTGCTCACGCTCACACTCACAGCCCGCACTCACTGCTAACTACACACACTCACTGCTCACGCTCACACTCACAGCCCGCACTCACTGCTAACTACACACACTCACTGCTCACGCTCACACTCACAGCCCGCACTCACTGCTAACTACACACACTCACTGCTCACGCTCACACTCACAGCCCGCACTCACTGCTAACTACACACACTCACTGCTTACGCTCACTTCTGCAGAAGAAAACACTGTCTGAGGAATGTTCGTTGGGAAAGGATGAGAATCTGTACCTGTGTGTGTGAGTAGGTGTGTGTGCGTGCACGACTGTGTGTGTGTGTGACTGTGTGTGTGAGAGACTGAGTGTGTGACTGTGTGTGTGAGATTGTGTGTGCGACTGTGTGTAAGACTGTAGCTACAGCGGTCTCAGTCGGGGACAACAGGGAATATCTGGTGTTCCTCGGAGTGAGTTTATGTGACCATCAAATCTTGGGAACTGCACATCGCCGACTACATGGAAATGTCCCAAAGTGTTCACAGTAATTTCTGTCAAGTGTTGTGACTGTTTGCTGCAGGAAAGCCCTGGAGCCATTGTGCTGTTAACTCCTCGCTGAGCTTCACTCCTGCCGCCCCTCAAGTTCGGGTCAGTTATTCCCTGACAATATTACAGCCATTTAACAATGTGCTACAATAATAATAACCCTTCCATTTGATATAGCGCCTTATCACGTCTTCGAGACGTCTCAAAGTGCTTCACAGAATATACGGTCAAGTGAATATTTTATGAGCGAAATGCGGCAGCCAACTGCGCACACCAGCTTCCCACACACAGCCGTGGATTGAGTGACCAAATTAATATTATTTATTTATTTTGAAGGGATTATTACCCACGGAAAGCGATTAACCAATCGACTAACAAATGAGTTCCTATTTACTGCTGGTAAACAGAGGCGTGTGTGTGTCTGTGTGTGTGTTTGTATTTGTGTGGGTGTCTCTGTGTCTGTGTGGAGTAAGGTAACTTGCCTAAGGTTTCGTCCTGACCCGCCCGGGAATCAAACCTGGGTCCTCTCGCTTGCGAGGCGAGGGGTCTAACCCCTGAGATACAGGACTCCACAATGTGTTGCTGACCTGCTGAAGTGTAAGGTTGTTCCCGGCTGGTGGAGTGACTGTTCCTCAGACACCCCCCCTGCTTCACACCCTCAGTGCCGAGTAAACGGGAGTGGTGGGGGGAGAGCGGAATGGCCTCCCAGGTCAAAGGGTAATTGTTATTGTGGTGTCATGAATGAGTCACTGTGTTGGGGGATTGATTACATCAGAATTGCCCTGACCTCTAACCCCCCGCCCCCCGCCCCGCCACTCCTGCACGAGCAAAGAGGCACAAAGTCACTCGATAATACAGAAACAGGCCATTTGGGCACCAGGTGTAAACCTTGGTTACTGAGCCAGGTGCCCAAGCTCCCAATGCCAGCCCCAGCCCCCAACCCCAGGCCCCAGCCCCCAACTCCACTCCCTAGACCAGCCCCCAACCCCAGCCCAGTCTCCAAACCCCAGCCCCCAAACCGCAGCTCCAGCCCCCAAACCCAGTCCCCAGCCCCCAACCCCGGCCCCCAACCCCAGCCCAGCCCCCAACCTCCAACCCCAGTCCCCAGCCCCCAAACCCCAACCCCCAGCCCAACCCCAGGCCCAAACCGCAGCCCCAGCTCCAGCCCCCAACCCCCAGCCCTAGCCCCAAGTCCCAGCCCCCAGCCTTCAGGCCAGCCCCCAAATCCCAGCAGCCAGCGTCCAGTCCAGCCCCCAGCCCAGCCTGTCACTGGGACTGAGAGAGACTCGTCCTCTCAGGCCCTAGGGTTTGGGATCTGTTCCCTCTCTGCAACCAAAGCCCAGGGGGAGGGGGAGTTCTAGCTGGTCAAAATTGACAGGAATGACTGTCATTGTAGTTGAGGTACAGATCAGCCATGATCTATAGAATGGTGGAACAGTATTAAGGGGCAGAATGGCCTCCTCCTGTTCCTATATTGTTATGTAAGAGGCTGGAAGCCTGCAAAATCAGTGCTCTCAGTGGGCAAGAACAGCAGCAGTTCTCCCTCCATCTCAACAACACCCCCACTCACCCCCAAACACACATACTCACACACATACTCAACATATACATGTACCCCCCACATACACAACATCTCCCTGACACACACCCCTCCACTCCCCAAAACATACTCTTCCCCCCTCACACACGCACATCCAACATACACCCTCCACATACCCCCACCCCCCCCACCCCACACAAACACACACACATAACGCTGCATAGTCTGGGTTAGAATCACAGAATTGTACAGCACAGAAGGAGGTCATTCGGCGCATCATGTCCGTGGCAATCCTTTGAAAAAGTTACCCAAATCAATCGCACTCCCCACCTCTCTCCCCATAGCCCTGCAAGCGTGTTCGTCGACCCCCTCACTCTCCAATCCACAATCCGGCGCCTCTGCTCGACTGGCACCGGCTCCGCTCGTCCCTCGCACCCTCCGCCCCACCACTGGAGGTCGTGCTTTCAGCCACTATGCCCCAAAGCTCTGGATCACTCTCCCTGCGTCCCTCCGCCTTGCCCCCTCTCTTCTCTTTTTCAAGCCCCACCTAAAAAGCTACTTTGTTGACTGTCCCTTCCCTCCCCTCCTCGCTCCCTCTCTTCCCTCCCTTCACCCTGACCATTTCCCCAATGCTCGGGTCCCGACCCAACTGTCCAGCGCCTTGGGACGTCCTCCCGACGTGAAAGGCGCTCTATAAATGCAATCTTGTTGTTGTTGTTGTTGTGCTTATGGCTACCTGCCCCCTCCCCCCGGCTCGGAATCAGGCTCCACCACTATTAAGCTCTGAGACGCTGCTCTGCTTGGAGGGCGCTAGATAAGTGCAACATCTTGTTGTTGGTTTATATGGAAACTATTTTAAATCAGTGTCCTCGGGTTCCCGACCCACCCGCCAGTGGGAATAGTTTCTCCTTCTTCACTCTATCGAATCCCCTCATAATTTTGAAAACTTCTATTAAGTCTCCTCTTAACCTTCTCTGCTCCAAGGAGAACAATCTGAGCTTCTCTCACCTCTCCTGATAACTGAAGTCCCTCATTCCTGGTACCATTCTGGTCAATCTCCTTTGCACCCTCTCCAGTGCCTTGACATCCTTCCTAAAGTGTGGGGCCCAGAACTGAACCCAGTCTCTTTCTGAGGCCTAACCAGTGTTTTATATAAAGGTTCATCATAACTTCCTGACTTGTGTATTCTATGCCCCTATTTATAAAGCCCAGTATCCCATATGCTTTTACAACAGCTTTATCTGCCTGTCCGGCCACCTTCAAAGATTTACTATATGACCCCCCGGTCTCTCTGTCCCTTCACCCACATTAAGATTGTACCATCAGCTTATATTGCCTCTCCTCATTCTTCCTCTCAAAGTGCATCACTTTGCAGTTCTCCACATTAAACTCCATCTGCCCCGTGTCTGCCCATGTTACCAGTCTGTCTGTGTCCTGTTGCAGTGTACTCCCCCAAACTGTGGCTCTCAGCAACTTCTGCCTAATACTCTCTGGGATTAAGTGACTAGAGAGAGAGTGTGCACAAGAGATAGCAAGGGAGCGCGTGAGAGAGAGAAAGAGAGATTGACAAAGAGAGTGAGAGAGCCAGAGAAACTGAGAAAGAGAGCAAGAGAGGCAGAGAGTGTGAGAGCGAGAGAGAGAGACAGAAAGTGTGAGAATGAGAGAGAGAGTGAGAGAGAGATAGAGAGACAACCCAATCTGGAGAAGGTTGGCCTCTGCCTCACGTGATTGTGAACAACAAGAAATTTTCCCCCAAAACACAGAAACAACAACAATTTGTTAATCTGAGAAAACAAATTTAATGAATGCTTTAATAACAATAAAAAGTCACTACAACTGGCCAGCTGGGAGCGAGAGCCTCACGTACACCCTATACAGCAGGGTCCACATATATACAGGGGCCCCAGGAATACACACCGGGGCCCCCAGGCACACACATAGGAGCCCACGTGTGAACACAGGGCCCCCCAGGCAGATACACATAGAGCCCCCCAGGAGCGCACACACAGGGGCCCTCAGGAGCGCACACACACAGGGGCCCCCAGGAGCGCACACACAGGGGCCCTCAGGAGCGCACACACACAGGGGCCCCCAGGAGCGCCCACACAGGGGCCCCCAGGAGCGCACACACACAGGGGCCCCCAGGAGCGCACACACACAGGGGCCCCCAGGAGCGCACACACACAGGGGCCCCCAGGAGCGCACACACACAGGGGCCCCCAGGAGCGCACACACAGGGGCCCCCAGGAGCATACATGGGGCTGATACATACCTGAGCATTTTTAGCAAATTGGATGGTAACGTACATTGGGGAGAAAGCTAGCTAACGCATGTTTGAGATTATTATTTATCTGTTTAACAGCAGCAGAGAATCAGCGGAGGGTGGGGGGGGGGGTGGTGTGCCTAACTGAAGGAGGCCTGTGTGGCAGCCCCCGAGCCCCCAGCTCCCAGAGCAGGTCAGGAAGTCAGGAAATCCGAATGAATAGCAGGACTGCGGTTGGCACCAGCGATTGACATTGGGGATGGGGGGGAGAATGTGGGGGGGGAAATATTTCCGTGGGTTCTGGGCGTGGCCCAGGGTGACGATGGGAGCTGCCCCCCGCCCCCCCCACTACTGGCCCGAAACGATTCCTCAGGAGACAGAAACCCTCGCTCGTTTCCCCTGGCCCCCCACCGGCGGCGATTACTCCCCATAGGGCAGACCACCCAGAGCCTGAAGCACAGCCAGCCAGAGCAGCGCCCCCCAAGGGGGCAGCAACCCCGGGGCCGAGCAGATGGGATTGGCATCTGTGTGAGAGAGCGAGGGGGAGAGAGAGAAGGGGGTGGGGGGGAGAGAGATAGAACAGTATTAGAGACAGCGTGTGAGAGTTCAACACGCAGATACACAGACGTCCCGCAACCCCTGTGACACATCTGTCCATTAATATCAGAGCAGGCACCTTCTAACTCCCCCACCCCAACCCACCGCCCCCAGCCTGTAACTATTTACAGAGGAACTCCCACCCCCCACTCCCACCTTCACATGCTCAGTGTCAGACCCCACCCCCTCCCCACAACGCCCCCCACCCCCCCACTCAGCTGTGAAACAAACCGTTTCTATTGTAAACCTATAAGAATAATAATCCTTGCATTGAGACGTCTCAAAGCGCTTCACGGGATATACTGTAAAGTGTAGTGACTGTATTTTGCGGATGAAACGTGGCAGCAAATTACACAGCAACGTCCCACAAACACTCGTGGATTGAATGACCACATTTTTAATTTGAGTCAGTCAGCCTGTCCCTACGTGGAGGGCTGGCGGGGGTCATGGTGAGTGGGGGGTTTGGGGTGGGGGTTTGGGGCAGAGGATGGAGAAGGGGGTTAGCAGGGGCGAGATGGGTAGGGGGAGTGGGCGGAGAATGGGTGGTGGGGAAAGTGGGCCAAGGAGAATGGGGCAGGGGGGAGTGTGGATGGATGGGGTAGGGGGGTAACGGAGGAAAGTGGTGTCAGAGGAGGGGGTTGAGGGGGGGGCGGGGGGGGTGCCGAGCTGAGCTGCTCACCTCTGCTGACCAGAATAGTCTTGTTGCTGTCAGTGTGGGGGGAGATGGAAGGCTCCAGCCGGCAGCCGTATGTGCCGGCGTCTTTGTGGGCCAAAAAGTCCTTCATCAGGAGCCGCACCATGGAGTCGGTCTGGTTGACGGAGATGCGGTTGTTGATGGGTCTCTTGGTGTCGCTGGCCAGTGCCTGCAGGCTCTTCCCTTCCTGAGACAGTGTCCACTCATACTGCACCGTGCTGCTGCTCGACTCTTTAGTGTACTTACAGTCCAGCCGTAGCTCATCCCTCACTGTGGTGCAGGCCGTCAGCTCAGTGATACGCTGGCTGTCCAGCACCGGGAGTGCTGCTGAGAACACACAACAATAATACAGGAGACTCTTGTGGAGACCTGGAGGTCAGGAGTTACCGCCTCGCCTCGCGAGCCAGAGTTTGATTCCCGGGCGAGTTAGGTCAGGAAGAAACCTTAGGCAAAGACTCCAAACGTCTCTGTTGACCAGCAGTCAGTAGGAACTCGGTTATTAGTCAATTAGTGGATCACTTTTCTGGCGGTAATAATCCAGAATAATCGGACGAGTGATGGCGCGGGGGAGAGAGGTGGGAGTGTGTGTATGTGATGTGTGTGGGTGTGGGGGGGTGTGGAGTGTGTGTGTATGTGGGGGGGGCGTGGGGAAAGTGTGAGGGTGTGTGGGGGGGGGCGTGTGGGGGAGTGTGTGTGAGGGGTGGGGGGGTGGTTGTGATAAGTGACAAACAGAGAGCAGCTGATGGACACTCACCTGCCAGGACAGTGAGGAGCAGCAGAGAGAACATGTTGCTGGCACGATATCCACACCTGCCACAGACCAAGTATCCATATTAATGCCTCGCCTCCCCATGGCATTGGCCCCACCTCCCCACCCCTCAGCCAACCTCTCCACCGTTTCAACCCCCCCCCTCTGCACCTCTTCGGACCCCCCCTCCCCACTGCCTGAGAATTTCTACATGTTTATTCACCTGGAAAATCCAGTCATTCATGAAATACACCCCTTCCCCCTGTCAGGCAATCACTGTGGCACAGAGACACAACTTCAAGAGAGAGGCTGATGGATTGTTGGTGGGTCGGGGGATATGGGGAAAAGCGGGAAATTGGAATTGAAAGAATTAGTTGAGGTACAGATCAGCCGTCATCTAATTAAATGGCAGAACAGGCTTGAAGGGCTGAATGGTCTCCTCCTGTTTCTGTGTTCCTTTGACAAAGAGAAAGAGAGAGAGAGGTGGGGTCGAGGTGGGGGGGCAGTGGTAAGAGACACTGAGAGACACCAACTTGCATTTATATAGCGCCCTCCACGCGGGGCAGCATCTCAGAGCTTAACAATGGCGGAGCCTGTGGCCAAGCCGGGGGGAGGGAGGAGGTGACCTTAGGAGCGGACGAAGAGGAAGGTCTTCAGGCACAACCTGAAAATGGGGAAAGAGGGGGGGGCGAGGTGAAGGGGGTGAGGGAGGGAGTTCCATAGCTTAGGGCGTGATGGCTGAAGGCACGGCCACCGATGGTGGAGCCGAGGATACGGGGGACACGGGGGAAGCTGGAGCCAGTAGAGCGATGTGGGACTGATAGAGAGAGAGAGAGGGACTGATAGAGACAGAGGAGAGGGAGCGAGATATAAACTGGTAGAGAAAGAGAGACAGAAAGAAAGACAGACTGACTGACAGAGAGAGAGGGTGAGAGACTCACAGGCTGCAGAGTAAATACAGAATAAAAGAATCTGGTTAAAAATTATATTTAAAAAATCCTGATTCATAGAAATCAAAATATTGTTTTCCAATCTGCTGTAACCACCCCCCACGCTGCCCGCATAAATGACGCCATATGATATTAATATGACATTAATATATTAATTCACTTCCCGACATCTCCACAGATCCACCTCCCTGGAAAGTGTTGACATTCCCCAGTGCGGAGTAATGTAATCCACAAATTGATCACATCACTGATCACAGCCGCACAGGGACTGGGTGTGTCTGTCTGTCTCTCACACAGTCTCTCTCTCTCTCTCTCTCTCAGTGTCTGTCTATCTGTCTGACTTTGTCTCTCACACACCATCTCTCTCTCATTCTCTCTCTCTATCTCTGTGTGTCTCTGTCTGTCTTTCTCTGTGTATGTGTCGGTCAGTCTCTCTCTCTGAGCCTGTATGTGTCTCTCTCTCTGAGCCTGTGTCTCTCTCTCTGAGCCTGTATGTGTCTCTCTCTCTGAGCCTGTGTCTCTCTCTCTGAGCCTGTATGTGTCTCTCTCTCTAAGCCTGTGTCTCTCTCTCTGAGCCTGTATGTGTCTCTCTCTCTGAGCCTGTGTCTCTCTCTCTGAGCCTGTATGTGTCTCTCTCTCTGAGCCTGTGTGTGTGTGTCTCTCGTTGCTGCGGGTTCAGGCTGATGTCAGATCACATCTACAGAGGTGATGGATTGTACTGATCTCTCTCTGTCTCTCTTTGAGGGTGTCTCTGTCCCAGTGCCTGTCTCTCTCTGTCTATCTGTCTGTGAGATATTGTCAGCCCCAGAAACGAGCTCCAGCACTGTCCTGGGATGGGAGATAAACTAAACAGCCACAGCTTCACACTGTAACCTTATATCTCATCATCTTCATCCCTCCAGCCCCTGCCGCTTGCTCACTCATCTCCTGGGCGTTTTCCTGTTGTGATTCCCACCCTCTCTCCCCCACCCACTCCCTCTCCCTACCCTCTCTCCGCCCTCATTCGCACTCTCTCTTCCTTTCCCCATCCCCTCTCCTCCCCACTATCCCTCTCCCTCCCACCCTCCGTCATCACCACTCTCTCTCCCCCAGCCCCTCTCGCTCTCTTATATATAATAAAAGATTGCATTTGATATAGTGCTTCATCATTTCTTCATTTCCCCCTTTTCCCACTTCCCTCTCCCCCATCATCTCTCCCTCCCCCTCCCTCAATTCCATTCTCACTGCCCCTCCCTCACCTCTCACTGTCTCTCCCCCTCCCTCAATCCCATTCTTTCTGCCCCTCCCTCACTCCCACCCTCTCTCCCCTAGCAATAATATATTGTGTTTGATATTGCGCCTTATCACTTCTTCGCTTCTGCTCCCCCTCCCACAGCTCAGCTCAGGGGAAACTCACCCTCAAGCACTGAAACCAGCCAGATGTTCCTTCATTCATTAATTCACCTGCTGAACCATCAAACCTACAGCAAATATAAAAGCAAGGCTTGTCTCCCAGCTCATGGTGACGGTGCCTCAATCTCTTACCTCCAGCCTCTGCGTTGCGCAGTGTGTGTCTCAGTGGCTGCTGTCTCTCTCTGTGTGTCTGTGCCGCTGTTCGCTGCTATTTCGCTTTTCAATGGAAAACTGAGACGTCAGCACTTGGCCCTGTGCCTCCCACTGCAGCACTGCCCTAACCACCCCCTCCCCGCAAAACCCCTCCCCTTGCGGGATCAGCAATCAATACCTCACTCTCTCTCTACAGAATGCAGATATTTCCATTGTAAAATGGCTCAGAGAAGGAGAGGGGGAGATTTAACAATAATCCATACGTTTGATATAGCGCCTTATCATGTCTTCGAGATGCCTGAAAGCGCTTCATAGGATACACTGTAAAGTGTAGTTACTGTGTATGTTGTGGGAAAAACACAGCAGCTAATTGGGCACCGTAGTGTCCCACAAACAGGCGTGGATTGAGTGACCAAATTCTTATTTATTTTTTGAAGGGATTATTATCCCCAAACTAAACAGAAGCGTGTATGTGGAATAAGGAAACATGTCTAAGGTTTCGCCCAACCTGGGAATCAAACCCAGGTTCTCTCACTTGTGAGGCGAGTGCTCTAACCACTGAGCTACTGGAATCCACCCTGTAATCCTTAACCCTCTGCCAATGACCTCTGCCTCCCCAACTACCCCAGACTTCACTTCAGAGCTCACAGACCAGCCTGACACTCAGGCGGGGGCTGTGCCAGGGGTGGGTGGGTGCCTGGGGGTTTGTCTGAGATGCCATTCTTTAGGGTGCAATGTTAAACCCACCACTTGCCTTGATCGAGCTGAACTGTTAAATATGCACTGATGCATATTCTCTTTGACCGAGCCTTCAGGTCCCCTCTCGACTCTCTACCCCCTCCTCGCTCCCTCCCTTCCCTCCCCTCACCCTGACCATTTCCCCCCTCCTCGCTCCCTCCCTTCCCTCCCCTCACCCTGACCATTTCCCCCCTCCTCGCTCCCTCCCTTCCCTCCCCTCACCCTGACCATTTCCCCAATGCTCGGGTCATGACCCAACTGTGCAGCGCCTTGGGACGTCCTCCCGACGTGAAAGGCGCTTTATAAATGGAATCTTGTTGTTGTTGTTGATGGAAAAGAGGCTGAGACAGGCCGGGGGGCTCCAGCTGGGTGTGCTGGCGAGTGCAGGGAGTTGGCCGAGTAGAAGGCAGTGGGGGGGAGAGGAGGGAAATGATGCATCCTGAGCTGTAAATTTACCAGGATTTATTTCTCAGTCTCGGATTGTGTCTGTGTCGGGCTCTCCCCCAGCCCGCAATCCATTGGCTCCACTCGACTGGCTCCGGCCTCTTGAATGTCCCCCATGTCCTCCATTTCACCATTGGTGGCCGCGCTTTCAGCCTCTACACCCCAAAACTCTGGAACTCTTCCCCTCAATCTCTCCACCCTATTTAAACATCCAGGGGTCCCATTCTCTTCCAGAACGTAACATTTGTGGAGTCCTGTAGCTCAGTGGTTCGAGCACTCGCTTTGCAAGTGAGAGACCTGAGTTCAATCCCAGGCAGAGGGCGAAACAACAACAACAACAACAAGATTCCATTTATAAAGCGCCTTTCACGTCAGGAGGACGTCCCAAGGCGCTGCACAGTTGGGTCATGACCCGAGCAGGGGGAAATGGTGAGGGGAGGGAAGGGAGGGAGCGAGGAGGGGGAAGAGTCGAGAGGGGAGCTGAAGGCACGGTCAAAGAGAAAGGTTTTGAGACCGGCCTTGAAGGAGGAAAGGGAGGAAGCAAGGCGAAGGCACTGGGGGATGGAGTTCCAGAGCCTGGGGGCTGAGAGGCTGAAGGCCCGACCACCGATGGTAGGGCGGTTGGGGCGGGGGACGTGGAGCAGACCGGAGCCAGAGGAACGGAGGGTACGGGCAGGTAGGTAGGGGGATAGTAGGTTGGAGAGGTAGGAGGGAGCAAGGCCGTGAATGGCCTTGTAGGTGAGGATGAGGATCTTGAAATCAATCCTCTGGGGGATGGGGAGCCAGTGGAGGCGAGCGAGGGTGGGAGTGATGTGGTCGCGAAGCCTGGTGCGGGACAGTACACGAGCTGCAGAGTTCTGAATGACCTGCAGCTTGTGGAGGGAGGGGGCGGGAAGGCCGGCGAGGAGAGAGTTCCCATAGTCCAGCCTTGAGGTGACAAAGGCGTGGACCAGGGTTTCAGCAGCGTGAGGGGTGAGGTAGTGCCGTAGTCTGGCGATGTTCCGGAGGTGATGGAAGGCGGTGCCAGTTGTGGTGCGGATGTGAGGGAGAAAGGACAGCTCAGGGTCGAACAAAACGCCGAGGTTCCTGACTGGCTTTGAGAGGTGGAGAGTGCAGCCTTGGATGCTGATGGTGTCAGCGCCTGAGGTGCGGAGGCGCTGACGTGAGCCAATCAGGAGGGCCTCGGTTTTTCGCACGTTGAGCTGAAGAAAGTTGTCTCTCGTCCAGGACTCGATGTCGGACAGGCAGGCTGTCAGGACATCGGTGGTCGTGGAGTTGAGAGTAGAGGAGGAAAGGTAGAGTTGGGTGTCATCCGCATACATGTGGAAGTTAACTCCATGTCTGCGGATGATGTCACCGAGGGGGAGCATATAGAGGGTGAAGAGGAGGGGACCGAGGACAGAGCCCTGAGGGACACCACATGAGACAGTGCGGGGGGTGGAGGAGAAGCCATTCGTTGAGACAAAGTGAAGACGGTGAGAAAGGTACGACCTAAACCATTCAAGGACAGTGCCTTGAAGGTTGAGGTGGGAGGACAAGCGGTGGAGTAGGATAGCGTGGTCGACCGTATCGAATGCTGCCGATAGGTCGAGGAGGACGAGGAGACAGAGGGAGCCCTGGTCACAGATGGTCAGGATATCATTGGTGACCTTGACCAGGGCAGTTTCTGTGCTATGGGCAGCACGGAAACCTGACTGAAGGGGTTCAAAAAGAGAATGGGTGGAAAGGAAAGAGCGCAGTTGGGAGGCGACAACTCTTTCCAAGACCTTGGAGAGAAAGGGGAGGTTGGAGATGGGCCGGTAGCTTGATAGCTGCGACGCATCAAGGGAGGGTTTTTTCAGGGTGGGCGTGATGATGGCAGTTTTTAATGGAATGGGGACAGAGCCAGAGGAGAGGGACAGGTTGATGATGTCAGTGATATGTGGGGCAAGAAAGTGGAGCTGGGAGATAAGGAGTGGAGTGGGGATGGGGTCAAGGGAGCAGGTGGTTGGTTTTAGGGATAGGATGAGTTCAGTGACAGAGGGTGGGGAAACGGGTACGAAGGTGTCTAGGGGAGGATGGGTAGGAGTCGGAGTGTGGGAGAGAAGGGGTGGGTGGTGGGTGGAAGTTGGAGGGGAAGTGACCTTGGGCAAGTTTCCTTACTCCACACAGAGCCTAATAATAACCCTCCAAAACCAAAAACAATAATAAATTGGTCATTTTCAATCTACGACTGTTTGTGGGACATTGCTGTGCGCAATTGGCTGCCACGTTCGCCCACAAATATACAGTCAATTCACTTTACAGTGTGTTCTGTGAAGGGCTTTGGGTTCTCCTCCCGATGTGAAAAGCGCTATATCAAATGCAAGGATTATTATTATTATTATTATTATCTGTGGATTATACAAGGAGCAGGCAGCTGGAAGACATCAGCCCATCCCAGCTTTGCTTCACATGTGGGCGACAGTTGAACCTAAATTCCCACTGGGGCTGCCTGAGCCAATCCCACCCGCACTCAGGCCTGGCCTCGCTCCAGCAGGAGATTGCATCCTCACTAATGGACTGAGTGCATTCACTCAGCCACTCAGCCCTGCACTGTCCGGAAACCAATCATTTTAAACACCATCCCATCCAGTTCCGGAAAGGCTTGATGGCATTGAGTGAGATGGTGTCATGGCAACACCAGGGCTGGTATTATGGGATGCCATTAGGACTTTCTCACCCAGGTGGGGTAGAGGAGCGAACACCAGCACAACAACAACAACAACTTGGATTTATATAGTGCCCTCCACGCCGGACGGCGTCACAGCAACGGATCCCGGGGCCGAGCCAGGGGTGGGGGAGGAGCCGGGGGAGGGGGAGGAAGGTGACCAAAGGCGCAGTTGAAAGGAAAGGTCTTCAGTAGGGACCTGAAAGTAGGAAGAGAGGGGGAGGGACAAAGGGAATGAGGAAGGAAATTCCAGAGCCTCGGGGCATAGTGCCTGAAGGCACAGCCACCGAGGGTGAAGCGGAGGATTCAGGGGACGAGGAGGAGGCCAGACCTGGAGGAGCAAAGGCAATGGGCACTGTTGTGAGGAGAGAGGAGGTCAGAGAGGTCGGGGGGTGTGGAGGAGTGGAGGGATTTGAAGACAGGGTGAGGATCTTGAAGTCGATGCACAGATACGATGGGGAGAGAGCAGAGAATGCGGTTAGTGTAGAGAGCTCCAGTGGGGGAGAGAGCACCAGCACAGACACCATGGGGAGAGAGAGCAGGGAATGGGGTTAGATTGGGCTTTTGTTGAATTAAACATTTAATCATTGCTAAACCTGCTTGGCTCACACACACACAGACACATACAGTCTCAGTCTCTATTGTCAAATCTAGTCATTGCTTCTCCATTGAAATGGATGGGGCAGGTTCAGGGGTGATCATTACAAGTTATTTCTGACCCTTACATACTCTCACCTTGTGTCCACCTCCCCCCCCGCCCGGTGCCTGTCACCTCGTCCCCCAGCGAATGGGAAGGGGAACAAGTTTAGTTGGGTCAGCCGGTTGCGCTCTAACCTCTGTGTCAGAAGATTGAACAATTAGCACCTTGCAAAGTCCTCCCGACACTGAGTAAATGTCATTTGTTGTTCATGCAGAACGATGGAATCTGAGCACACCGCCCAACATTATTTGGGAACGATTGGCACATTGCTTTCTGGAGGTAATAATCCCTCCAAAGGAAAAATTGGTCACTCAATCCACGACTGTGTGTGGGACATTGCTGTGCGCAATTGGCTGCTTCATTTCACCCACAAAATACAGAGTCAATAACAACAACAAAATGACATGTGCAAAGCGCCTTTCATGTCGGGAGGATATCCCAAGGGGCTGGACAGACAGTGTTTTGGACCCGAGCTGTGGGTCGGGGTCAGGGAGGGTGGAGGGCAGGGGGTGAAGCAGGGAGATTGAAAGCACAGTCGAAGAGAAGGGTCTTGAGATGGATCTTGAAG